CTACTACTACTACTACTACCACCACTACTACTACTACTACTGCTACTACTACTAGTACTACTACTACTACTACTACTACTACTACTACTACTACTACTACTACTATTTCTGCTTCCACTGATACCCGGCCAACTAACGCTGCCATTATTACTGACACGCCCCATACTACCGATACAGTACTAACTATTTCCCCTATTTTATCTACTGGGAGATGTGTCCAATTACGTAATTAATTGCAAACTTGAAGGACAGAACTTTGTGGCTGTTTTTAGATATCAAGGACTCGGAGCTCATGGGCCTGGGAGCCAAGTGGGCGGTGTACTAGTTCTCCTGAGATTTTGGATATTTTTTATGATTTATAGCCCTGAAAGTGAGCCGCGCCTAATCTAACTCTGAAGGCTGCCTTCTGTGTTGTCTTTTCTATCCAACTCGACCTTTTTGGCCTTCAGTGTGAAAAAGGTCAACATTAACTGGACTATTTTGGAATGGCGTTCACCGATTAGGCTACGAAACGTGCTCATCCCCTTGTACCTTGGAGTTGAGGCCAGGACACTCCCGGACGGTTACATAGCCACAAGCAGTATCCAAATGAAGGGCAGCAGCGAAGACACCGGAGACTGGAGTGGCGCTTTCCGACTTATTATCTATCATCAGCCAGCCGTACACAATCACAGATCTGGCTGACCCGGGATTCCGATCCGGATTTTTCAATCATCGGGCATTCGGTAATTCAATGCTCTACCATTAGGTCGTTAGCCCCTCCTACATGTCGTCGGATTGTCTTAATTCGTCCTAGACTTGAATTTCCAAGATATCGGAGTCAATAAGTTCTGTCATTCCAAAAGTTCCCACTGACCTTATTTACCTCTACTTTTAGTGTTGATGGCAGAATGATGTCATTAACATATGGCAGGCACCGGAAGTCGAAATTAGACTGCGTTATCTTGTGAGCCGCGTTTGTATATTCTGAGATTACACTTGCTCAGAGTTTAGAGACAGCCGACATTATTTATTCTGAGAAGACTTATCTCAAATCCACAGGATTTCGAGCAACCAATGGAAAAAAGGCCAAGATATCGGTTTTTTCTGCCATATTCAGCTTACGGTCCCACCCTAGGATATGCGGATGGCTGACAAGTCCACTACACGTCTCCCACCAAAGTTAAATGCCCACGCACCACGTTTGAAACCTGGCATCTCTTAACCCTCGACTGTGCGGTTAGTCCTCATGGACGAATTCCCGGGAAGAAATACCTCTCCTTGAGTAAGAGTTAAGAAACAAGGCTTTAAAACGACCAGCAGTCCATCGTCGTGGAGCAAACTTTTGCGGTTGTCAAGAATTTTTGAATTCCTTTTTCGCTTTAATAGGGATGTGAGACAGAGTTATAGAGACTTAAGGTACTTGCTGACTTCAGCTGAATAAACAAGTCAGAAAAATCGCCGTTCACACAGGTAAAAACTAAGAAAAGGAAGCTGAAGACACTGTCCTTTCGAACGGCGAATAATCAGTCCCCTGGGAGCAAACCGCTCTCTTCGGAGTTGTCCAGATGCTGCAGAAACTAAAACAAAAAAAATAACTAACGTGAAGTCCTCCAGGGGGAATAGTGATTCTTATTGGTGAGTTTTAACTGGCCAGATGTCTGTTTTCCTTCTGTAGGACGACGCCAATGTAGACGTCCTTGTGCCACAATCTGTAAGTTCTCCGTTTGAATCAATAAGTCATAGTAGTGGGCTGTAAAGTTTCCTACGTTCTCATATCCAACTTGGCCGCGGGACAGAGTTGCGTGCTCAGTTCTGTCCTGAGCCTCATGTTAGAACCTACACAGGCAGACCCCGAAGTTGAGCTAGAAAGAACATTTCAGAACTCTACTATTGTCTTTGTCGGTTATTTGTTGCCAGTCATGAACGTATACAGACCATTGTCGACAGTGCATGAAACCTCCGCCTCGATGGTATAAGAGTTGAATCTAAAACAGCTGAATCTGCTTTCGTATTGACCGTCCCCCTTACCTGGCGTTGTGGTACGACTGGCTAGGAGAGCAAGTACACCAGGGCTGGTCATA